ACTTTGTGTGGCCTTTTTACCATGCAAGAGTCAATTAATTCCTCACCCACATTGTTCACTAGAACCAACAACAGGCCTTCAACCAGTTGCAGTGTGCTGCTGGTGTCCATGAACAACATGCTGTTGTATGAATCACATACAACATTCTCCTGTTTTATAAGACAATTCTTTTCAAAGAAGTGGTGGCATGATGGGATTTTGTTGACAATTTTCTTTTTTGATCAAGCCATAAATTCTCCAAACATTTAGTTGAGGCTTCAGGTACTTACCTGGTAAATGATTCATCTTTAAAAGATGATAGTAAAAATAACCCCAGGTTTTTGTTCAACACTAAAGCTAGACTAATGAAAAGTCACATCCCTTTTGAACCATGCATCCCTACAACTATAAGTAGTGATGACTTCATGAGATTTGTTAAGAACTTGTTAAGAAGTTTTACTTCCAAGATGCACGTAACCAAACCTGAGCACCCAAAATGAACCAGCGCCAGGTTTTAATGACGGTGGAGACGTTACTGCACTCCCTGACTGAGCTACAGGTAATACAGATCATTTTGAGCTCTTTCAAAGTTTCTAGTAGAAATGCTGTGTTGCTCACCGACCAGTTTGATTACAAATTCATTTGGATCGAGCTGAATCAACAAAGAATAATCCAAATGGAGCGTTTACATGATGCATTTTTATTCCGAATGGCCATTTAATCCGATTACTTATGCAAACATAGCTATTGTCTCTGATGTGTGTTCCATCAGTGTATGAATGTGATCTAAAGCTCTGATTAGTCTCTACAGTTTCAGATTAGTTTTGTAGAAATGTAGTAGAGTGCTGCGTGGATGGGTATAATGAGGGCACAGGTTGTTATTGTAAAGTGTTTTGAGTATCTTGACTGTATAGAAAGGCTTTATAGAAGTACAGTCCGTTTACCATTTACAGTGTCCTGAGACAACATTTCGTGTGAATTGGCACTATCTAAGTACACTGAAATGTACTAAATTTAAATTAAATGTATGGTTAGTCGATCAGTGTAAATCAGTCTATTGCCATTTCAAAAGGTTTCTATGTGCATATGTACAGTATATACATGTATATGTATGCTTGGGTGTGTAAGTATGCATACATGGGTATATAGTATGTATATACATATGTGTACATATATGTGTGTGTGTGTGTATAATTATACAGTATATACTTTGTATATAAATATACAAAGTATATATATGTATATATATATATATATATATACACATATATATATGTATATAGATATACA